TCAGCCTCCCAAGTACTTAGGATTATAGACATGCACCACTGTGCCCAGCTCATTCTTCATTTCTCATTTTTCTGATCTTTACTTTGATATTGTCAGTCTCCATATAATTCTTTCATGAGTATCTGATTCTTGTGCTACTTTCTTCCTAAAAATTATTTCCTGCTATGAAACTTCTATCAAAAACAAATGCTTCAATAGTTATTTAAAATTCTTATTTTAATGCCTTTTTATTTGTTTCAATTAGGTTTGTATCAGTATCATCAACATCATTCCAGTTTACAGAGGTCCATAGGTGGATTCTCTTGGTCACTATTGACAGTGATAGATCTGATTGCTTTTATCTGTTCTCAAAGGAACCACTACCACCGCCATTACCCAGAGATCTGGGGAAGAATTGTTGTTGTCTAATCTAGACCTTTTTTTTTGTGGAGGGGAGGGTTCTGAGGATTGAACTCAGAGACACTCAACCACTGAGCTACATCCCCAGTTGCTTCGCTTTCAAGAAAAATACTGTCTACATCCTCTAAGTTTTCGTTTTATTTTCTCTACCAGGCAGTATTATGACTACTGGAAAACCTCTCATTATCTGTGATCAGGGTCTCACTGAGTTGCTTCTTGCCTCGATAAGTTGCTGAGGCTGGCTTTGAAATCTTGATCCTCCTCCTGAAACCTCCCAAGCCACTGGGTAACCTAGACCCTTTTTGATTTGAACATTTTACTACTTTATAAAGTGTAACTTATATTTACTTCAACATTACAGCCTTCTTAGTTTTTTTTTTTTAAATGGTAATACTATTATTATTCTCATTCCCCTCTAGCATCTTAGACATTTTTGTGTCACTCCCCTATTCCCCCAACACACACACAAAATTCAGACTTTCCAAATCATGCTGAATCTGTGATGTTAGTAATAACACAGCAAAACCAGTAATATTCCCCATGTCTCACTTAGTTTTCAAGAATAATGGTAGAATGTGCTAGGAATATAACATCCTGAGATAAGGGAGAGCTGGTTGGAATACCCTGAGCCTATTCTAGTCCCCTACCTATAAACTGAATGTCCTTTAATACTTGCACTCAGTGACTCAAATGACCTGAGGATATAACACCCAGGATAGATTGGTTTCCAAGATTCCTCAACTGTGGTACAAGTGAGGCACCCACAGAAAGACTTTATCCACCCTGAGCAGATTTTCATTTATTTATTTATTATTAGTTGTTAAAAACATTACAAAGCTCTTGACATATCATATTTCATACATTTGATTCAAGTGGATTATGAACTCCCATTTTTTACCCTGTATACAGATTGCAGAATCACAAGGGTTACACATCCACGTTTTTACATACTGCCATACTAATGTCTGTTGTTCTGCTGCCCTTCCTATCCTCTACTATCCCCACTCCCCTCCCCTCCCTTCCCATATTCTCTCTCTACCTCATCTACTGTAATTCATTTCTCTCTTGTTTTTTTTCCCTTTCCCCTCACTTCCTCTTATATGTAATTTTGTATAACAATGAGGGTCTCCTTCCATTTCCAAGCAATTTCCCTTCTCTCTCCCTTTCCCTCCCACCTCTTGTCCCTGTTTAATGTTAATCTTCTTCTCATGCTCTTCCTCCCTGCTCTGTTCTTAGTTGCCCTCCTTATATCAAAGAAGACATTTGGCATTTGTCTTTTAGGGATTGACTAGCTTCACTTAGCATAATCCTGAGCAAATTTTCTGAGCCCTGGGGGAACAGCTAACAATGGATCTTAGTCTTCTGTTGTCCCTTATTGTCTATCAGTAATAAACCTGTTTTGCATTTTTAAAAAATGCAGTAATATTCTGTGCTGGGCAGCATACTGAGGGTTTTATTTGAATAATGTAATCTTTACAACTGATCCATGATATAGGTACTGTTATAAACCCAAGATAACTAATGAGGAAACAGAAGGATTCTTAACAGCTAAGAAAAGTAGAACAGGTAGGAATCTAATTTAGGCTTTGTAGTTTCAAAGCCTAGACCCTTAATTCTTGTACCATCCAACTCTTTACTATTGTGTTACCATGTTATACTGCTTCTACATACTGTGCCTTGCAACCACTTGCTTGCTTTATTTTCCATAGCCATACTCATCACTGCTCCATGTCTTTCAAACCATATACACCAAGTCTATATGCATCCTTCCTCATCTTCTACCAGATTCCCAAACTCAAATCTCTTATGGTATAAAAAGTCATGTTCCCAGTGTTGCTTCAGATCACTCTCAGAGCAGTAGTTTCCCATGAGTTCTTACATCACAGTAAAATACCTGGTTTTGGTTTTAATATTTTTACTCATCTTATTCAACCAATCACCTGTATTTCATTATCAGTAAAAACCTTTTGATATAGCATTTTCTTACCTATCTGAATTATCTTATGTACCATTTTTGCAATGCAGTTTATTAAAATATGCTTTCAAGAAAACTACTGTCTACATCTTCTAAGTTTTCCTTTTATTTTCTCTACCAGGCAGTATTATGACCACTGAAAAACCTCTCATTATCTGTGATTATACCTCCTGTGTTTGACTTACAAATAACACTTGTTATCTATAATAGCACCATTATCATCTGTTTTATAAAATAATTGAACTTCATTATTAGACATACACACTACCCCATGGATGAGGAAGTGGTAAAGGTAGACAGAAGAAAGAATTAAATATCATTTGTGAGCTTTAAAGATAACCTTAATTGGAATCCCTAAGAGTCAGTATAACATTAGTCTTCACAGATCAAAAATAACTGTCTTTGTTAGAAAATTATATATTTTAGTAAGAAATTTCGTATTTCCCAAATCTTTTCAATTTCAAATTAATACCGTGTAGTCTGTACTCTCTTCATAGTCTTCAGCTATTTACTTTTATTTTTCTGTACAATTTCTAGGACCCTGAGTTTTCTCTTTGACTTCATCTCATAAATTTTGTATACTCTTCCTACCTACCTCCAGTTTCTCTACCATTCTCAATTTCTTTCTTATATTTCTACCCTAAAATGCTGGTTTCTATTACCACAAAAGTTTACTATCTAGAATTTTTAAATATATAGAGTCCCTTGATCAGGGACCAGTGCTGTCTTTGTCAGAACTCAGCAGGTATAATAGTTATTCTGATGCCATGACAATACCTTAGTAAAATTCTAGTAAAGAACTTAAAATTGTTAAGAATAAAATTATAATCATTTCTCCTAAATGCAATTTTGAATAAATAAAATGTTTCATTATTTTCTAGTTAGTTGGTGAGAATATAATGAAGAGATTTGGATTTTGGCTGATAGTAGCTTGCATATATATCTCTTGAGACCTTCATTTGTGATAATGATTTTAAAAGACATGCTCAAATATTTTTATACTCTTAGAGTTGAAAGTTCTGCTGTCTTAAAGCTCACTTTTGGATAAGAGTCCTATTAATAGTATCCTTTGAGTTAGGACTCTGTTGCCATGGAGACAATGACAGGCTTTAAGTTGTATTTTTAATATATACTTGAAATATATATACACACCTTAAGGTTTAAATTATGATTTTATTGTCTGTAGGTTTTGAGTATTGGCAATTTAAAAATTATTTTCTATATCTTATTAATACTTTATCATTTTTATCCTCCAAAGAAACCAAAGGAGAACTCTGGCCATTGGAATGACAATGTTTTATAATTCTTTTTAGAGCATCTTTAGGAATAACAGAATCCTCTGTGGGTCAATTAAGAATGAGGATTTTAAAGAACATGCAGAAACTTTAAAAAAATGGCAGTGTGATCTTAAATATTTACATGTCTTAAACACAGTTATACAAAGCAGTTCATATTCATTTGAACTTTTTGTACTAGTGCTATGCTAAATAATTTAACCTTATTAAAGTTTATTTAATAGAACTCAATTTGAAAGTACCATAGCGATCTTCATAATTTTAACTTTTAAAATACTTACCTGAGCCTAGCACAGTGACACACACCTATAGTCCCACTACCTTGGGCAATTGCAAGTTCACGGCCAGCCTCAGCAGTTTAGTAAAGCCATAAGCAACTTAGTGAGACTGTCTCAAAATTTAAAAGGTTGGGGGTGTAGCACAGTGGTAAAGTGCCTCTGGCTTCAGTACCTAGTACCAAAACAACAACAACAAACTTATTATTTGAATAAACGTGAATAGTATTTCTTAATTTCCCCCTAAAAATCAGTAAATAAAATTGATATGTGCTTTCTGTAAGTAAAACTTTCAATCACAAATTATACTTCATTCTTTATGAATGAATTCCATGGCATAGAATATTACTGTTCCATAGACTTCATGATTAAATTTGTAAATTTACATTTCTTTAGCATCAGTGTCAAATTGGCACGGCCTAGTTAATATTTTAGCTTGCTAGGAGTTTCAACTTCCTACGTTAGTAACAGAACACTACAGTGATTGCTTTAGACTACATAGATTAGGAGTGATGACTTATAGTTAATCCTACTTTTGTATTTATCATTACTGAATATTAAAGTAGCTATTTCTGGATAAAAATGACCTTTTGGTTACAGTTATCATGAACAAAACCTTTAAATTTAGTCCTGTCATTTTGTCAGTTAATACTTGTATTTAATGGCACAGATAGCCAAAATAAGAGTTCTTTGCTTTATCAAGAGAAAAGAGCCAGAAGTAGTAGATAATCACAATTTATACTCATAGTTTTGAATATTAGCTTTTAGCTTTTCTCTTTTTCAGAGACTTTTTAGCAAGACCCATCTCCTCTATGAAGAATGCAGTTAATTTTTTTTCTGGCACAAAAAATAGAGTAACCTGATCTGAGTCTGACAGAGTGTGTCGTTCATTTAAGTGCTTCCATCTGTTGCCTGCTGTTCCCCTTACTCATGACCCCTCTATGTTTCTCTCTTTCCCTTACCCTTCTCCTTCCCTGTCTCTCTTTACTTTTTTTCTTTCCCTTCCCATTTTCCTCTCTCCTCCCTCTCTCTCTGGCTCTCTCTCTTTGTCCTTAGCCCCTCTGAGGAAGGCAAAGTTTGTTGAGAGCCCACGAATTCCAGAATCCGAGCTTGGCTCCCCAACCCTCACTTCAGCTCAGAAACTGGACGTGGACACATACTGCCCTGGTAAGCATGCATGCAAAGTGTCTGCTTTGAAAGAGGGAGGATTGGATCAGGCCCATCTGCAGAGCAGTGTTTTGCATGTATACTACTCATAAAATCATGTTAACTCTTTCTCAACTGGTTATATATTCTCCTTAAAGAATATAGTTTTTATTGAAAATCCTGTTTTGGCTTTTGATATAATGATAGTCAATATTAAAAGCAATTTCAAAGATAATTTTCAAAAGAAAATAATTTGAGTTATTTTTGTGATTTGAAATAATACAAGAGATTTTGTCATGGTCATGTGCAAATGGAAATGTTGAAGATGTGAATATGAATGTTCAACACTGGACCTTTTGCATATGACCTACTATGCCTAATTTTTGTTAGAATTCTAGATAGTTATAGAAAATACTTGTAATATTGGAAACCTTAAACTTGAATTAGGAAAGAAATAGATTCCTGAGTTGAACTCCCTTCGGACACTCACTTTTAGAAATACCTCTTGTGTATGACCTGTAAACACATGTGGGACTTCACTAAAACCCTTCCTGTGTGGGAGCCAAACTGAGACAGACTCATTATCAATGCTTAGATTCTTTCAGACTTAGATGCGTTGCCTGGCAACATCCTTTACACTCTCTCTAGAGTGAGTCTATAGAACTGTGTCAGAAATGTTCATAGTTCTAGTTGAGTATACAGATCAGAATGTTAGTAAAGGAACTTAGAAGACTTGGTTTTAGTTCTTTTGTTTATTCTTGCTCATTAAAATTGATGTTAACCAGCATGAATGCAACCATTACATATTTACAGCATTGGGATTCAGCAGAGTAAAATGATTCCTACTTCTAGAGGAGATAACAACAGCTCTGATCTGAAATGTGAGGATCATATATTTCTGAAGCCAGACAGGAAAAGTTAAAACAAAACCAAACAATGGGAGAAACATGGGCCAAATCTAGTGAAACAAAAGACATTTGATTTTATGTGAATCAATTTTTAAAATATTGAAAGTCCTTGGGACTTTCACTCTCAGAGCATTGAACCTTGAACTTCAACCACTGTTACAGATGACTTATTCTCTTCTAAATCACTAATGGTTATATATTAGGAAACAGCTTTCCTGTTTCCAAAAGAAACAAAAGCTCTTTAACATGTTTTGAGGTATGATCATACTTCTTAGGCAATGGAACTTTGTGCTTTGCATTTCTCCATGCAAATTTTAGTGTTCTAAAGTAAAATATATAAATGCATTGATCTCCTATGCCTTTTTCCTAAGGCTTATTATTATTTTATGGGAGGGTTGGGAGGTGGGTAACTGGGTATTGAACCCAGGAATTTGCACATGCTTGAAAACACTCTACCAACTATACCCCAACCTGTCAGAGGACTTTTGTTTACTAGATTTGCAAGTTAAAACACTCTTAGGAGAGCCTAATTTTCCCTTTTCTTATTTCCCTTATGACATCCTTTATCTGATCTAGCTATTGTTATTATCATGAAGCAAATAGCTGCTGTTTGTGTTGGAATGTCAGTACTGAATAGCTATGGACAGTTTTATCCATGTAATTAATTATGCATATTTTCCACAAGTATAAATTCTTTATTGATTTAGAATTGAACCAACTAAACCTCAATTAAGATTTTTAGAAGGCTGGGGTTGTGGCTTAGTGGTAGAGCACTTGCCTAGCACACGTGAGGCCCTGGGTTTGATCCTCAGTACCACATAAAAATAAAATAAAGCTATTGTGTCAATCTACAACATATATATATATATAAAAGAAACATATAAAGATTTTTAGAATGCCAGGGAGAACCTAAAACATGATGCCAAAATGCTAATTGTCATGCTATGTAGTCTTTTTTTTTTTTTTTAAATCTGCAACAGACTTAAAGCATAGAAACTTCATAGTGGTTTGTTCTTTTATAATAAAGGCATTAGGCCCTTGGAAAATAAGTTTCTATTGAGGGTAGCAACCTGAGGTTTGAAGCTGTTGCTGTTATGCTTGAATTCGGGACCCCCAAAAGACCACCAGAGACCCAAGATCAATGTAAACAGCAAAGAGGTGTTTATTGAGAGCTAGCTTGGTCCTCCGCGCTCACACACAGCAACTGGTGACACTGAGAGGCCCCGAGCGCAGGGTTTGCAGCAGTTTTATACATTCTTTGGAGAGGGCAGGGACTTCACATACATCATAGCAAATCATCACACACCGCGGGAAAATCAAATAACAACTCTAAAACATGATTAGCACATTCACTGGCGGGAACAAGTTGGGTAGGGGTGATTGGTCATTACAAAAGGGGTATTCATTTGAACTGATTGGTTTAAGCCAAGAGGGGTGTACGTGCTGAACTACATGGTTTCCCAACATGTTATCAATCACCATAAACTATTGGGAGGGTCATCTGGCATCCCAGGTATTTCCTTATCTCATGCTGATTGGTGGCTGCTAGGGGGTTGCTATGGATCCCCACCTAGCCTGACTGAGTCAGGGACACCTGGCGCAGCAGATCTCTCCTGTTATTTGTAGATAAACAACTTAGCAGGGTGGGAATGTGCCTAGGAGTGCTCTGTGGGTTTTTCCAAGGACAAAGGTGATGTCCCTTCCTTGGACAGGCTTTGCTCTGAGGTAGAGGCTGGTTTTTCATTGTCTCTACATAGTATCAAAAATTAACAATGAACCTGAATTGATGTGTTTACTCATAAAACAAACTTTTGGAATTTAGAAAACTATACCCTGAAATATGATGCTTTGACATCCTGAGTACTTTGAACCAAAGAAGCTTGGAAGGCTTCAGAACCAAGGTGTCTCTAATCTTTTTCTGCCCTCTTTCCCTTCTTTCTTCCCAAAGCAGTGCAGAGAGGGGCTTTTTCTGATGTTTCCTTATCTGCCTAAAGATAGATTCTTCAGAAAAGGAACAAGGAACTCATTTGTCCTGAATCCATTCACAGAGAGTCTCATCTACTGGGGAAGATTACTGTTACCCAAGTGGGGGGTTGGGAGTGGGGTTAAGAAAGTCTATACCAGGCCCAGACAAACTTTGTCATAGGCTATCACCAAATCATTTACTCTTCCCAAAGTTGCCCACATCTTCTCTCCAATCTCCTCTGCGAAGTGGGTATGAGCTTCTAGATCTCACTGAGTGTTCAGGTACTCATTTTGCTTTCCTCTGATTGCCCCCCCCCCATAATTAATTTTTATGCCTTTTCTCTGATTAAACTGTCCTGCTGGCAATTTATTTCATAGACTCAATTATGGAACTTTCAGAGGATAAGAGAGAGAGGATTTTTGCACTTCTGCAAAACAAATATTAAGCCAGCTTTTTTGAATATTTTTTACATAAGATATACTAACAGAAACATGAACATATTTTATTCTATATTCCTACATAATAAAACAGTTAAAGTTAGTGTGTTCTGATATCTTCTTGTCCACCAGCTTTACTCATTATCATCTGCAAATTCAGGAAACCACATTTTACAGAGCAGTAGTTGTAAATTAAAGGTTACAGCAGTGGTTCCCAGATTCTAGCACACTTGAAAATTACCTGGTGGGCTTGTCCAAATGTAGATTACTAGGCCCAACCCCCAGAAATTCTGGTTCAGTGGGTCTGGAATGGGTCAAACATTTCTAACAAATTCCCAGCTGATGCCTAACCTGCTGTTAGAGGCTTCATACTTTTAAGAACCAAAGTTAAAGGGCTATATAGACATTCTACAAATGATAGAGTGAACAAGGCTAAAAGTCTAGAGGGTTTATTCTACCATTGGTGACTTCTGGAGAGTAATTTTTCATGTTGTTCTGTATTTAAACTTAAACCTTTTGGTGTCTATATTTTAGGTTGAAAGAATAAAGCATTTGTGTTTGAGACATATGTATTTTTTCTTAGTTTTCCATCTGTACCTGGCATCTGTGTAGTCATGTCTAACTTTTCTGTGTTGAACTACATATAGAAGGAAATTGTAGATCAAACCAGACCAAGTCATTGCTGTTTAGCATGCAAAGTCTAAGGAAAGCTATTTTGGGATATAGCTGTTGATCCAGACATGTGTCATAATAAATTGAGTTCTTCAGTCTATATAGCATTAGATTCTAAAATATCTAACCCGATATATTATTCCTCAAATCAGATTTATTGTATCCAAGAAACATGAGAAATATGTAAGTAAACCTCATGCTTTGATTCTGCAGCTACAACCATGGAGATGATTAATAGTGTAAATGTGACTAATTCACCAGATTTGGGGATGTTCAGGGAACTGTGTTAACAATTGTCTCACAATGGGCAATCTGAGCCCTGGAGAATTTAAGTGATTTCTCTAGGGCCGTCAGCAGGTTTTATTGCTGAACACTTGAAATGGACACAATATAGTCCAGAAATATATTGCCTGATAATCCTGTCACTATGTAAATTCTCTAAGTATGCCTTCCTACCCTCAGATTGAAAGGTAGAAAATTCTGTTTTATGTATTGGACAAGGCCACATCTATTTTTATGAAAAAGGGTAGCCAAATGATAGCAGTCATTTCAATAGAACAATTCCTAAAATAAGAGAGCAGATTCATTCTATACTTCGTAGTTTTTTTTGCTTGTGACATTATTACCTGCATGATTTTTGAGTAAGTCAGCCTTTCTAAGCCTGAGTTTCTTCATCTGTTAAAAAAAAATGGAGATAACTTCAGTCAGATTAATATACACAAAGCACTTAGCAAAATGGTTGGCTCATAATAAATTCTCATAAAATATTAGATAAATCTATTATTAGACTGGTAATTCTGAAGTATAGCACTCTTTTTTTTAAAAAAAAGTTTTAGTTGTTGATGTACCTTTTTTTTACTTATTTATATGCAGTACTGAGAATTGAACCCATTGCCTCACACATGCTAGGTAAGTATCCTACCACTGAGCCACAACCCAGCCCTAGCACACTCTCTTAAAGTGTCCATTCTCTTCATCCCCCTGTCCTCTTTCCTGTACTGGAGATTGATACCAGGGCTTCACAAAGCTAGGAAAGAG